ATTCGTCGCAGAACATAAGAATGATCACATATTGCTAATCGGACAACCTGGCATAGGTTCGTACATCCTTTCTACAACAATTAGACACAGGAAACTTATGCCACAACCAGGAAAAACTGTATATCTGACCTACTGTCTTTTGTGTCGACTTACTGAGAAGAAACGGACGGTTTTGATGTACGACCCGGACAAGTGTTATTTATTCCAGGACGAAGGCGTTTACCGACTTCCACTGGATTTGTTCAAACGTACCGATAATCATCTGATTGTACAACGAGCCAGCGAGACACTGTTCCTATATGACTGCAACGAGAGTCAGACAGTAGTAAAGCGGAGTCGTGCCGGGGTGAAATTACTGGTTACAACGTCCCCTAGGCGGTCACGATATGCTGGATTTCAGAAACAGGCCTATCCGTCGAGTTTTATTATGCAAACGTGGACGTGGACCGAGATTTATTTGTCTCGGTAAGCACACTCCATTGCTCTTAGAATTTAGCACTGAAATATGTTTCTAGCTGCATGGCTAAACAGCAGCGTTCTACAGTAGAATTGGCTGAAGCATATGGGAGATATGGAGGGTCAGCACGAAACTTACTCAAAAAGGAAGAACACGAGGTCAAGCAAGAACTGGATCGAGCAATAGGCGTCTTCAATTCATTGGCAGGGAGACTTGCAGAAGCAGTTTCGGCAACCCAGAATGAGATGGTGCGAGTAGCGCAAGTCCCTCAAAATTGAGGAGGTGACTTGCAAGGATCTACAATCAATTAGTTAATCATATTTGTAATGTAATTAGGTACATCTTCTAATCTTAAAAAGGTAATTTAAATATGTAGAGTGAGACATGAGGTGAAGTTACACAAAAAAAATGAGAATTGTGCCCTCCCTCCTCCTCAGACGTCTAAGATAGGGCCAAATAACCTTTAGGATAATCCCCAGCATTCAACTCAACCACAGACACCAGTAACAAATTTACAAGGCATGCAAATGCATGCATACAACTAGCCAACTCCTTTACATATTCAGCTTCACCCAACATTCTTGACTTCCAGCACACCTAGTCCAAGCCCAAATTCTCCTACACTCAATACAGAGTTTCCAGAGAATGCTACAGGCCTTGTAGCATTAAACTGGACTCCAGTTCAGCAGCCCCAATTGTTCCAGGAGCAGAATTCAGCTCACCTTTCATCTCTGGCTCTACAGTCCACTCAAAGCCCCTCTCTAGCACTAGAGAAGTCAAAATCTAAAGGAAAGGTGAAGGAGAAAGCTGTACTAAAAAAGACAGGAAAAGGTATGTACCTTTCTCTCTGCATTACTTTTTATGTGTCAGGCTTCCTTTTCAGCATATTTTTGAAAGAGCATGCTCACTGTTTTCAAGGGTCACAATCTGGAAAGAATGTGTGTACTTCTAGCACTTCAGATATAGAAATTAGCAACTTAACTCAAAAGATGAAAGATGATGCCAAGGTATTTGATGTGAAAGAGACAAAGGGAAAGGCTTCATGGGATGAGGAGAATGAGAAGAAGCTTGCTGAATTCATTTGTACACTAGAGTAATAGTCAAAAGTGTAGACATCTGTTAGTAGGATTTGCTAAGAGGTGAATACTCACCTCTCTGTGTTGCTTTTTATGTGCTAGACTTCCACAACTTTGTCTCTAGGCTTCCCAGACAATCTTGAAGGAATATACAACTGAGCAAGTCACTACAAAGTGGCATTCCATGTTCAGGACATATAAGGACATGAAAAGTAAGTATAACACTCATTGTACAAGACTGTATAACTTACCTGGACTGGAACTACTGAACAGGATGGTTAAACCATACTAGAGGAGGAGATAGGGACAGTGACATACTAGGAATGTGTACCTCTGTTACAATCTGTGCCAAATTTGCTGAAGGACCAATATTTGCTATTATTGATTGTGTGTAAGTCTTGTGTACTCTTAGGCTTGTTTAATTCCTGAGTTAATACATAAGTTTCTCTATTTTGAAGTGTAGAAGGCTGTCCTAATATCAAGAGGCTCATAGAATTCAGTTCAGGACATAGCTTTGAGGATATTGAAGCAGATGTTGAGGAGGACAAGAAGAAATGCAAGAAAACAGATCCTGCTACTGAATTCACTGAAGTTGTCAGTGAGGCCTTACATCTTGCACAGGAATGTCAGGAAAAGATGGCTGAGCTGGAAACCAAGCATTTTGCATACCAGAAGCAAAAGGACAAGAAAGACAAAGAATACTAGTGTAAAAGAATACAGTCTGAAGATTGAGCTACAGAGATACAGATGCTACACAACTTAGAAGACCTGTGAAACCTCAAACTTGATAGGTACTGTGTGTTGCAAGATTCAGAAGACCCTGTGGAGAAAGAAATGGCTGCTGACTTTCAGGATGAACTCTGTAAGATAAGTCAGAGAATCTGAGAGCTTTGCCAGAGTAGAAAGTAGTAGAAGCAGTATAGCATATTCTAGTAATTTGATGCTTTCCTCACAATTGTCATACAAATACTTTTCTGGACAGATTAGCAGAGAAGTATGACACAATATAATTGCCTCTTCAATATCCTCAATTTGGCCAGTTTGGTGAAATCATTCTATCAGGGCACTTACCAACTTATTTAGATTGCTGGTCAATAATCATGGCCCTCTGGGCAAAGTATCAGAGTAGTAGGATATAGTGCAATTGACTCCTCAATATTAGTGCTCTTGAACTCTCATAACAATAACGTGTCTACAAGGCCTTGTAATGATTCCAATTGTTCAGGTATGTTCTTGTGAATAAGTGTGAGAGCATTGTAATACAGTGAAATCAATTCATTAAGCCTATTGTTACTTATGATACCTAATTATTTCTGCTGTTCATACATGCAAGTAGGTTCTTTCTATGTTGTAAACCTGTGCAATAGAGATCAGCACTAACCATTTGATTAATATTTCTTGCCTGTTCTACTGCCATTTTGTCTGGTTTGGCCCCAACTGCAGGAAAGAGGCCTGCATTGTTGTGACCATTGTAGTTTGCAATTGTAGCAGGGTCATTGTTTAAGTCGATTAGTATATTATGAATGACCATCAAAGCCTCAATTGTCATGTAAATTATGTTGAGTTTATGTCCAGGAAAGCTCTAGAGGGATGTGAAACAACCTTTGAGCATCCCAAATGTGTGCTCAATAGCAATACAGCAATGTGAGAGCTTGAAGTTGAAATCTTGCTGACAGCAAGCCTCTCAAGGGTCGTTTGTAAGCTCATAATCAGTGAACAGACGGATTGTGTACACAGTGAGAGGATAACCTAAAGAGACAGAAATATTAGTAGCAGAACCAGTAGCATGATGAACCCTATGGTGTTCCAGGAGATTATGATGAATCTACACACCTTTATCAGCTAAAATGTACTCATCAGCATTGAAATGCTCCCCCAAAGACTTCCATACCCTGGACTCTTTGAAGACAGTAGTATCCTGAACATTTCCAGGCCAACCCAAGTCAAATTCTGTGAAGTGCTTCCTGTCATCACAGATTGCTTGAAGAACAATCTGAGAGGGGTTTTGTGAGAGAAATGCAAAAAGACAAAAAGACTATTTACTTACTGAATAGAATCTTTTCCTACTGAAATACAAGTTGCTATCTTTCCTGGGTTTTGTAGAAAGTGGGATGAGAGAACTGTCCACCATACCAATACACCCAGGAAAGCCTTCTGCCTGGAAATGTCTCTTCAACTCCAAACAATGTTCACCAGCAGGCCAGGCAAGAAAACGAGACCTCAGCTGGCGAAATGCAGTACAAACACAGTGACAGTACAGAGGTACTGTGCCCTCTGCTACTGAAGCCTGCTCAGCAGCCTTGATGCCTATTGTACCACCATACCACAGGAGAAATACAGCAAGTTGCTCCCAGTGAGGCTGTTGAGCTCGTTTACCAGTCTTCATAAATACTTCATCATCCTTTATTAGATTGCAGAGAGTCTTGAATGACGTACGATCGACCCTAGAAGAGTTGTGGATTAGAATGTGGTGGCATGCATATGATTC